TGTATTTTCAGTTCAGGAGCAGGCAGATATATTTCATTTTACTGTAGTTATCCATTTGACAGTTTTCATAATAAAATTAAAGGAAAATATTTCGGTTCATTATCATGGTTGCATTATGTATCTAACAGGACGTGATCCCCAGACGAAAACTAGCCACGCCAGTTCATGCCGCAGATTCCACCAGCCCCCAGACGGTCAGTTCTAGAATGGGTGACTTCGCCGTATGGACATCAACCTCCAGTACTGAACCAAGGTGGTATGCAGTATTCGGGTGCATGGCAGCATCAGGGTAGAAGACAGTAACGGTTCTAAACTAAATTTCTATTTTCATGGCCACCATTATGAAGACCATACATGTTTTTGCATTGTAAACAAGACTCTGATTTTTCTCAATACGTAATAAATCACGCAGGATATCTACGCAGCACCAGTATTTGGCAAAGAATAGACTGACCTTTTCAAGGGGCTCGATCTCCACTCTTATCGTCCTCCCTTCTTTCTACCGATTAGATAAAATTTTAAAAAACTCTCCTAAGGTCGTATGTGTAAACCCTAGATTCTGCATCTCTGCGTTGGCTGTGTCATATTCTTTAGTTTTACAGCCGTTCACTCTTCGTGGTAGTTCACTGCCAGTATCAGGTGAAAGGGAAATGGTTTGCGTTTGAAACGGTTGAAAAAGCATTGATTCGAATGAACGGTCAAAACGAACCAGATACCCATATTTTTTTGGTACTTATATATTTTAGAAAACGAAAATGTTTGCTCAACCTTACGCTGCTCCTCATTATGTTCCACCTGTCAATTCAGCGCCATCTTATGCACCAGGCGGATTGGCACCCCAATCCTACCCACCTGGACCTTATCCTGAACCATGGTATCCGCAGAATGGATGGACACCCCAAATGTACCCACCTGCACCTAATCCTGAACCAGTGCATGGAACTGAGCCTAATCCCCAAAGTCGAAATGTTGGCCCCAGCTTATCTGGTATTTTTAACCAAGTTGTTCGGCAGCATCCAGCGGTTCGTATGTATAAAATTGGCCGTAATGTTTACAATGCCGGTGTTAATGAAGGTCCTCGCGGGGCTGCGAGAGCATATATAAATGGTATGGGGGAGTTTGTAAAAGAAAACATCCAAGAACTTGTTCAAGCAGCTGAACCGCTTTATATTGCTATAAACAATCCTGGCGCACTCCCAATGCGAGTCGCACAACAATATCTAAACCACTGACAAAAAGATAAATTCAAGCTTCTAATCTTAACTCTTGCTTTTTCAGCAATCGATTATCAGTCTTAGACAGATTTCTTTTCAAAGCTAAATAAATTTAAAACGAAATGCAGAGTTGAAAATTTCGCCGAGGCGTTTCATGTTTATTAAAATGTATAACACTCATCAGGGCTCTGTATTCACAGTTTTTTCAAAATAAACTACAACAAAATAAAATGGAAAATAACGTTCGAATTATGTTTCACTGAAACCTTGAAAGTACTATGTGAAAAGTTTTCTGAGGGTGAGTAAAGCATACCAAGCTTCAGATTTCGACCTTGATTAAGGGTCATCATCAGTGGTTTTTTGCTCTGAAGTAATCATCCGAAATGATCTCTCTTGTAAAACTAGAGGGTGAGTAGAAATAGTGGCATTCCACGACCACAGTTGTTTCTGTCTTGCCGGGATTTCTTCAGGTGGATTTACAAGATATTATACCAATAGTAATTCAAACATATATAAATTACATAAGAATGACTATATATGGTGCACTAATCTTTAATACATTTGCACAAAGGATTTTCAATAGAATGAACAATAACTATACTCATAAAATAAGAATACATGTCCATATCTACTTGAAGAAAATTCAAATATAATCAAAGATTTCTATCGTCGCAAGGGCGAGTAGGAATAGTGGCATTTCGCATTGCTGGCACCTTACAACACCACCATCCATGCAACGACAAAACAAATCCTGTTCGAAATGATGTTCGGACGATTACCCGTACTACCATTTGACCATCAAGACGAAATGGTATCGCTCGAACAAGACTCTGAGCATGTTAGAAAATTAGATCAATTCTTATCGTCACTAAGCGAACAAGCGAAGGGAACTATTAAAAAAACACAAGAAAAATATAAATCTCGTTATGACGACCATCGATCGGATCCATCATACAATACGAATGATTTAGTCCTCGTGGAATCGTTACATAGCCGACACAAATTCGATCATCGTCACGAGGGACCATTTAAAATTATTCAACAGTTAACAGACAAAACTTATATCGTACAACACATAAAAAGACCACAATGATCAAACAGATAACCGTTGATGTACCGTTATTTGAACGGAAAAACATCCAATAAAATATGATAGTTTAAGTATCGTTAGAAAGTTGTCATCATCATTGTGATCATTATGAAAACGTTCTTTTATTCATGAGTTTATACCGAGTGTTATGATTTTGACAGCAGTATTTCTCTTACAAAACACACATTTATAGAACCGGTGGATATTAGGACTGGCCAATCTGTGTTTCACAGTCGACTATAATAGAAAATGATAATTCAACGACGGTTGAATATTCATTGATATGTGTTATACAAGAATGTTTGACGGCTATCATTGCTATTATCCTTCTTATTATTAATACCCGCGATCCATCGACCCCTTGAAGATGAATTTCCTCGCAGGATTTTCATGTTTTATAATGCGGATTCGACTTTGGAATCATTCCTCTGAGTTCGAGTCCTGTTTATATGTTTCTCTTCTAGATGTCTACATCATATCATCATCAAGTATCGTCCCGTCATTATCAAACATCGTCTCGTTCCTATGTCTCTCCACTAGTCCGGCTCGAGCGACGTAATCTTCGATTTCAACCAAAGAAAGTAACATAATTGTAAAAATGATACGACCGCAAATATTTTTACGATCAGAAGAACAACATTGAAATTTTGGTGGAAACAGCGATGAAGAATGGAATGGATGGCATCACGTTCACTCAGGGGATAATTTCTGGGGATGCGGCAATAATGTTGGACTCACTCTACAAAAAGGTATGACTGTATATTTTAATATCCGTTATGTTCTATTTTTCATTTATTATACTTTTCGATTATAGGCGATATGAAATGCACATATCGTGCATCATATTACGATCCAAGCTTCAATTTGGTCAAGCTCATTGGCCAGCCAGCGAGTGGTACATTCTCGTACGATCGCAGCAAAACCAAAGCTGAAGTTTATAATGCATTCATCGAGTTCATTGAAAGTCAAATCGCTGCACAGAATGCATAAATTAATACAACAAATAGATCAGGCTTAACTTAATTAAAGACTTGTCATACTGCTTTCATCTATATAGGCTAGTCGCGTATGAATCACCTGTCTAATAGACGTGTCATTTTCTACCTGAGTGTTTCACCATAAGATTGAAAGCAAAAAAGGTCAGTCATACCCATATATAGAGACAGAATGTGCAAATAAAATAAATGCTTGCTGTTTCTCCACAGAAACTTCTTGTTCGTTCATCAAGAAACCCATTCTTTCTCCACAAGAACTTCATGTTCTCTCCTGCAGAAATCGTAGTTTCTCCTCAAGAACTTCATGTTCTCCCCTGTAGCAGTTATTGTTTCTCCACAAAAACTTCATGTTCTCTGCCGAAGACGTTGTTGTTTCACCACAAGAACTTCATGTTTTTTCCTGAAGAAATCGGTGTTTCTGATTAATGTAACTGAAAAACTTATGTTTGTATTCTATTCGAAAAGTATTCGTTTTCGAACAAAAGTTGAGTTATGACATCGGCGTTAGTAAACACAGCAGCAACTGATCAGATAAAAACAATAGCATTAGCCATAGGTAACGTTGAACAAAATCTGGAAGGTTTGATTATTGTATGGCCTGATGCTGATATTCATAAAGAGGATTATGACGTAAAAAGACAATTCTTTTTTTGTCAAACGATTAATTATTTAAAAGCATTTGATAATATTGCCGATTGTATACAATATGTAACATCAATGAAAAGTGAAAAAATATGTTTTATCGTATCCGGAAAACAAATTGTACCCGACATTCATTCTTAATAAAATGCAAATTGTCTGTACTTACATTTCTTGTATGAAAGCTGAACATGAACAATGGTCTAAAAATTATGAAAAAATTCATAGTGTATTCATTGATGATGTGTCATTATTTAATAAATTAAATGAAGATGTTCCGTTATACACAAAATTATATTTATCAACACCAATGTGAGTATTTGATATGAAATTAAAAGAAAAATCAATTAAAAGTTTAAATCATAACAGTGCCATGTTTTTATGGTTGCAGTTATTGATAGAATTCGTTTTTCATTTACCAAAATCCGATGAATCAGAAAAAGATATGTTAAATGAATGTCGATTGTATTATAAGATAATGAGATTGAATTAAAAAAAATTGGTGATTTTGAATTGAAGTATACATCAGATAAAGCACTGTCATGGTATACACGTAATTTATTTTTCTATCGCCTATTAAATAGAGCATTACGCACAGAAAATATTGATATCATATTCGATTTCGATTTTTTCTAATCACTCTCAACAAATAAGAGAATTACATGACAAATCATCTGCTATTGAGAATAAAAAAATGTTAACATTATATCGCGGTGAATATATGAGATATGAAGAAATCAAACGTTTAGAAGATAATATTCGTGGTCTTATATCGATAAATACACTTTTTTCAACTACACCTGATAGTAGTGTTGCAACCACATTTTCTGGTGAAGGTTTTGGTAGACCCTCATTTGAATCGACTGTTTTTGATTACAAAACCATTTGCAAATACTAACGGACATAGTTAGTTTCAAGATGAAAATAAAATTCTTTTACCAATGGGTATTATATTTCGTGTAGGTTTTACTGAAAATTTAGGTATCGTATGGTGGATCATTTAAGTGCCAAACGCGAAGAAGATACAAAATTAAAAGAATTAATTGATCATTTTCCGTCGGAAATTGGTAAAGCAAAACAGGCACTTTTTCAATTAAGAGAATTTTTATGAATTATGGGTGAATACGATAAAGTAAAAATATACGATGAAATGTTATTAGAAGAATTACCAGCTGATCATAGTGATATTGCATTAATTATAAATAATATTGGTTTAGTCTATCGTGAAAAAGCTAATTATTCAACGGCTATAAACTATTTCAACGATGCTTTGAAGTATTTTCTTGCAAATCTTTCATACATCGCTCAAATATACGGGAATATAAGAACACTTTACAGTGAAAAAGGAGACAATTCATTAGCATTTGAAAATTATGAACGATAGCTCTTCAGATTTACTCAGTGGCGCTACTAAATGATCAACAAGATTTAGCAGCACTCTATCAGAACCTCGATACATTATATATGGTAAAAAATGCTGCCAAAACAGTATTAAAATACTACTTGCAATCTCGTAGAAATGCTCACCATCAGGTGATCCATCGAAGGCAGCTGTGTACAGTCTATTTGACATCTATATCCTAACAAAGGTGATTATGAAATAGCACTGCAAGACTAAAAACATGCATTAGAAATACGAAAAAAATCATTATTACCTAATCATCCACACTTTGTGCTGTCTTATAGCGATATTGGTTCTATCTATTATTACCCATGAGGACTTTTTAAGTAACTATCGGACGATATAACTCGATATTAGTGGAAAGAGTCGAGAATATCACAATAAATACCTTCTTTGTCGCGATAACTTCGCTATCGAGATCTATAGGTCTACTTCGATATATCATGCTACATACGGTATCGGAATAAGCTTTTCCTACCTATTACGATAAAAATTGATGTCTCTATATAGCTAGTTATAATTTTATCAGGCTATATCGAGATAGAATTATTGTGTAAATAAGGCTTTCACTTATCTAGATTAAAAAACTGTTGAACCCCGGTACAGCAATACGACACGTATACGGTCATATACGGGCCATATACGGCACCGCATTTTACCGTAATCCAGGCCGGTGTTTTACGACGGTATTTAATGAGAATATGGCATAAATACGACCGTAAACGACGCAAATACGGTGCTATATACGGTGCTGGATTACGGTGATCTGGATTCCGGCGATATTCGATCCGTCTCCGTACCGTATTTTGCCGTATACGGCGAAGTTATGGCGCAAAATGCAGATAACCGTAACCATCGTCCTGAGAAGTAGATCGCGATAAGAGATACAGGTCGCTGCAACTATGAATCGTTGCCTACAGCAGCACAGACCATGTTTATCGCAATAGAAAACTACCTTGTTTTTATCCAGGTAGGGATGAGCTTCGATCCATCTATGTATATTGTTGATCGCGATTAGTATGCTGTTTATCAGGCGACGTATAATGTATTCTGATGCATCTTCTTAAGTTCTATAGCGCTAAATCCAAATACTTTGAGTGTCGAGTTAGTTCCAGCATTTACCAAGATTATATTTATGTCGCAGCTGACTAATAAATATTTTTTATTCTAATGTATTACCGCACGGTCTACCGAAGTGCGCGGTACACCGGTCCGTTGTACCCACGGTATCAACCGGTATTTTATCAATGTAAGCAAACAGTACAGGCGTTCGAATCTAGTTCTCAGCTTGCTTTTTTTTGGTTTTTTTGCAGTGCGCATGCAGCGCATGAGGTACCCGAACAGGAAAAACTTGACTCAAGTTGAAGTGCAAACTTCGACGAGTCTCTATAATCTGAAAGGGAAAGTTTAATCTAAAAGAAAAATCAAAGTTTTTTGACTTTTCTGCGTTTCTTATATAGACTGCTAAGCGCAAAACGGCTTACCTACGGTTTTTTCCTGTACCGCAGTCTGAAAAATACTGTGCGGTAACTGCCGGTAGAAGAAAAAACCGTCGGTAAACCGGTAGTTATAGCGAACGGTACGGTTAACCAGCGGTAATTTATAGACCGGTCGGTAACCGGCGGTATTACGAAAAAAAGTGCTACATGGGCCTTTTTATTTATGTGCATTGGCACATAATAGCATTGGAAGTGTACATTATAGTTTGAAAAATAATAATGAAGCACTTGATCATTTTCAAGATGCATTTTCAGAGATTAATCACATGGCACCCGGTTCACATCCAAGTTTATTACGATCTATTATGGGGAATATGGATAATGCCTAGCGTGCAGCAGGTAAAATTTAATCAAGCCTTGGAATGTTATGAATCGGCGTTAGAATGTATCCTATACTTGGAACCATATTATGTTTCAGCAGTAATTTTTAGTACTATTGGAGATATCTATGAGCGACATAAACATGATAATTTAAAAGCATTACAGTATTATAAAAGTGCATTAAATAATGCATTAAGATATGGTTCTAATGAGGATGTGCATTTATACAGAGAAAATGTTGAATCAATTCAAAAACAAATATCAAATATTAGATGTCGATCAACATCTCCACCGGTACACTCTAAAAAAAAAGCGACGTGTGTAAAACCTAAAAGGGTTTAGAAAAGTTTCCCAATCAGCTATCCTGTATGGTTTGGTTAAATGCTCCAAGGAGGGGTATCGTAGACGTGAAAAATCTCCGACTAAAATCTTTTTATGACAGCTAATAAACTCTCAAAAAAGGTTTAGAAGAGGGTTTTTGGCATCTACGATACGTTTTGAAAATGTACAAATTCTGCACGAAACTGGAAATCCTTAAAATCCTTCATGGTGTTCTTAACTACGGTTCAGGGTTTTGTGCAGTTCATTCAAGAAAAAGATTCAATTTTCTTTGCTAAACAGAAAATCGTGTTTAACTCAGTTGGGAAGCATTTTTCTGAGGTCGTGTCTATGAGAGAAAATGTGGAGAATGAAATTCTGCACAAATCCTCATAAGACAGTCGATTTACTAGAAAACCTTTCGTTCTCGAGATAAATCGTTTTTAATATTTTTCTTCCAAAGTATCAGTGCTATTTCTGCAGAAAGCAAGTGCCAACTGATGAAATTTTAGAGCAATTATTAAATGTCATACTCCAGTTTATAGTACCGAGTTGTCTTAGCAGAAATAACACTGATATACTTTTGAGAAAAACATTAAAACGATGTATTTCGAGCACGCAACGTTGTCGGGCAAATCGACTGCCTTATTAGGATTTGCAGTTGTGTACAGAATTTCATTTCCCACATTTTCTCTCATAGACACTACCTTAGAAAAATGCTTCCCAACTGAGTTAAACACGATTTTCTGTTTAGCAAAGAAAATTGAATCTTTTTCTTGAATGAATTACACAAAACCCTGAGTCGCACTTAAAAACACCATAAAGGATTCTAAAAACTTTTAGTTGTGTCCAGAATTTCATTCTCCAAATTTTCTCTCATATGCGCCATCTCAGAAAAATACTTGCCGCCCGAGACAAACACGCTTTCCGGTTTAGCAAAGAAAATCATTTACGACGATCATACACAGCTGAACATAAAAGGTCGCAGTATCGTTTTAGAAGGCTCGTGCTCAGCAAAAGAAACTTTCACAGATAAAATTTTAATCGATTTAAAACGAATACAGAATACATGTCGAAAACAATTTTTTTAATACTTTCAGTTAGCGTTTTTCACATTGAACGAAGCATTTTTGAGAATCGAGTCTGCAACATGGAACGCAGTAAATTAAATTTCCTAAAAATTATATGCGAAAACCAGTTTCTAGAAGCTGATCTTCAAGGTAGAAAACGGTTTTTTGTGTTTTTAACCCTGAAGATCGAATTGTATGAAGTCGGGCTTATGAGATCAAAATTAGGAAATTAAATTTGACATCTTTTTGTTTTTGAAAACAAAAAGATGTCAAATTTAATTTCCTAATTTTGATCTCATAAGCCCGACTTCATATACGAAGATTTCAGATCCAACAAAGGTAAATCAAAAGGTTTAGTTGAACTATGTAAAGATTTGGGTGTACAATTACCAGCTAAAATTAAATTAGACGACATTCGTGATATACTTTCAACGCATCGAGCTTTCCAAAATGCTACAAAACTTGAGATGCTAGGAATGAAATATAAAATTAAGATTATATACTGTCCTAAGTATCATTGCGAACTGAATGCAATCGAAGGTCTTTGGTGCAATCAAAAGGCATTTGTTCGTATTAATATTACTACTATTCAAAATATTTAGAGGCCTTACTCCACCTTTTCTAGTTGATAGAATACCCACGTTAGGAGCAACAACAACTATGACTCTGCGATCTGCTTCTAACAATCGTATCAACACATACCGTACTTATGAAGTTAAGTTTGACACAACATTTTTTCCATGGACAATTAAGCAATGGAATGCACTACCTACTAGAGTAAGAGAAGCGTTTACCCGAGCATTCAAGTGATTTTCAAAAGCTGTTCTGCATCACTGGTTATTTTGACAATCCAAAAAGAAATGTTGCACTGTCTCGTCTGTTCCACAATCACAGTGCGAGCTGGTAACTAAATTTTTTTTATAAAGGTCATCATTCAGTCAAGAAAAATTCACTAACATTTGGTTGGATAATATGGCATATTTTCTGTCTATGTTTTTAAATCTAGGCCATTTATACCAAGGAAAAAAGTGAGCGTTTATTGCAGAACGATATATCGTTCTGCAGTTAAGATTCCATTTTGTGGATATATACAACATACATATATGTATGTTGTATATATCCACAAAATGGAATCTTAACTTTTTGAAAATTCTCGTAAACTTTTTTCATGTTATATTTCTTTCAATCAACGTTTATATATTATTTAATATCTAAACATTGATTCAAGTATTAAATAATTTTTGTTTCGATGAGGTTTCCATCCGAGAAAATTTCTTCCATTCTTCTAATCTTTAAAGATAACGAAAATTCATTTCATTTTTTTAATATATATAGTCGATCCTACGAAAAGGTGGTCTCTTCTGCTTGATAATTTCATTTTTCTTGTCATTGACATGAACGTCCATCTCCATATCTGTTAAAGCATAGAAGAATTTAGTTATGACTATTTTGAATGGACTAACTCATATACTTCATATCCATATGTGTCTGTTACTCTTTTGTCCTTCTTATTTTAATATATCTTATTTTTCGTCAGAAATGCTAATTACACGAAGAAAAAAGAAAATTAACACTGGCGATGGTTCGTCTTTCCTTGAATCTATAAATGTCTGTTCAAAAAAGTCCAAAGTCATTCCATTCCTTTTGTGAAGTTACTTTACAAACGTTTAACAAATCGAAAGAGAAAATTAGAACGATGGAAGACTTCATTTTACATCTGTATTCTGAATGTCAATTATTTTTTTCTGTTTCTATTACAATAGTCTTAACAATATTTTTAAAAATAATTTTATCTCAAATCAATTCAGATACCACCTTTGATCGCGTCATGAGTTTTCTTCATTATATAATGAATTGTAAGAAACAAGAAAATGGTAATATTATTAAGATGATTGTTAGAGAGGTCAAAAATAACAAATATTCTGCCACTACCGTTGTTTAAAACGTTAACAATCATATACAGCAAAAAATAATAAAATCTTACACTTTACATTGAAATGCGTAATATAATCGTTGTGAGAACTGAACGAGTAGTCAAATGAAAAGTGTAGATCTAACAAGCTATTCTCATAGAAATGATTTCATTTTTTTTCAAACATTTAGATATTAGATTATGTTGTCAACTCTATGGTGATTTGGATTCAGGTATAATTCATTTTATATTTTTCATATTTTTCATGGTGTTATTGGAAAGAATATACCTGTCTATGATATCCAATTATTCACTTCACTATAGATATTCTGTCTACTTTTTCTTAATTCACCGATCAATGTATCTATATTTATACATGTATCGAATATTATTATTATTATCAAAATATTCTTCATTTATATTTGAATGGTCTACAGTTCATTTTTTATTTTGGAATTTTACTATTATCGGTATTAATTCACTAATAAATCATGATTTACTTTGTTTTCGACAATTTTATATCATTATATATTCATCAATTGATGCATTGATGATACATGAATTAATTGCTCATCTTGGTTATTTGGATCTTCAGTGGATTTTTATTTGTGTTTTTATGATATTTATGCAGTATTTTATCCATATTCAAACCAAAACCAAGCTCTCAATATACAATCTGATACAAATTATTTACTGTGGTTTTATCTAGACGATTCTTGTTCATCCAGTCTTGGTTATGGTGATTTTATCTGGTATAGTTTTCTAATGTTAAAAGTGGTTGATTCAGGGAGTTTAGCAACAATAATTATTTGCTATTTTACTATGATGTTCGGCTGTTGTATTTTACATTCATTAATCTTTTGTCGTTATCGAATATCTGCTCTACCGGCCCTACCAATTCCTTTGGGATTATGTTCAATTGCCTATTTTATTATGACATACATCACATAATTTTTTAAAACAATTAAGAGATCAACATATATTACATACATAAAAATTACTGTTTTGATAATTTACTAATGATTTATAAAGACAAAGATCTCATCGCTGAATGTTTTATTACGGCAATTGTTTAAAGCAACAAGAATATTCATTTACTAAATGACAGACAGTGTCCAGAAAACTATATCTTTGCTAGTTCTCTTGCTCATTCATAAACAACAGAAGGCTAACAAAACGGAAATGAAATGTCCATTCAAGATGGCTTAGACTCGATTAGTCTTATGTTCTATCTGCCATTTGTTCACTTACTTGGAAATGGAACTGAGGTCATGATAGGCTAGCTCTTTCTTCTAGGAGCAAGATTAAAAGAAAAGTATCAATAGTTTTGTTATCCGTAGTTTCCGGATTCGAACGGCATGAAAAACTTTGCTTGATATCTTACCAGAAGAAAGCAGATGGGTTTACATAATAGCTTGAGAGCGATCATTGAGACCTCTGCTTAACTTCTGTTGAGGTAGAAGAAGACGAAAATCGATTCGAACTATCATGGTGGAAAGACAAATTATCTTGTCCGCAGTCTGAAAAAAACACTATTCACTTCGAGGATGTAAACATTTTCTAACTTGGTAAATTAGATTTCAACTGAGAGCATGGGAAGTTTTTTATTTTAGGTTTCTATACTTGTGTAAATAAGCAAAAACAATAATTTGGTATAGGAAAAGTTCTGCCAAATCTGGGACACTTCTAAGGAAATTCCTGCAAGATCCTGTTATGTGTCCACAAACTTCTGACAGGCTTTCGTAACATTTCGCAAAATTCTGCTGGTTTAGGTAACATTCTGCCAAATCTGTCACCATTGTAAGAATATTCTTGCAAAATTCTGTTGTATTCCGCAAAATTCTGCATTGCTCGGCAAAGTTATGAAAATATTTCGCAAAATTCTGCTAATTTAGGAGACATTCTGCCAAATCTGTGACAAATCTATTGTTTTTGTTCGGCCACTCACTTCTTCTCGTGTGTCAGATCTAGGAAGCAGTTTAAAAATCATGTGGCTAGCTTACAATCTTTTTTCTAGAAAGAATTTCATTCTAGCACACAAGATACTGTTTTGTGCTTGATCATTCATTTTATCAGGACAAGTGCTTACCACAAAAGAGAGCTTATAATATAACTTCTCTTTGTAATACTCAAACCTTTGCATCACGCCACGCAGAGCCAGAAAAATGTTTTATTCCTTTTGTTTTCTTTTTGTGAACACGATTTCTGAATAGGACTTAACATATTCAATACGAACTTTAAGTGTGAGCATGCGGCTCAAAACCGAATCGTATTCTTCATGAATAATGTAAGTACCCTGAACCGAGTCTCCACGACTACTAGAAGAACTGGAGGAAGAGCTCATCCCATTGTTTTGAAGTAATTGCCGAACGTTGCTTGGCAATCGGTAAAGCCGATTACGATTCGTCAAACACGTCTGGGCTTTCATACGCAGCCGTTGCTTAAGCTGGGCAACTTGCTGAGCAGCTGCTTGTTCTTGCTCACTGACTGCCGCTTGTTTCAGAGTCGTCAGTAGAGATCGAGCATCAAGGCGCATACCGTTACCTCCACCGGGTTTCTCGTACACTTGCGGATATAGTTGGATGTGAAGCCCAATGGCCTGAAGCAGCACAGATGTTGGAATCACGCCGGACTGCCGATTACGCCACACATCATCAGCTAGAATTTGCCGTGCATTTTTATTTTGATATTTCTGCGCTATTTCGTTTGATCGAAGAGTCGGAATTCTACGATGTTCACCAGCTCGTAATGCTACGCAGATTCCGTTCGCTTCTGAGTAATTTGGAATGAGATCAAGTCCGATTTGCTTTTGAATAATGTGATGAATGTCCAAGCCATCGCCACGAACACTTCTTGCCTGCAGCTCTCGATATGTGCCCACATCATATTCTCTCAGGTAGTTGCTACCAGTGCCTGAGCCGTACGCCATTCAGTCAAAGATAATGGAGAGAAATATCACAACAAAAACACAAGATGGGTTTTTATAAACATCTTGGTTGGAAAAATCCATCTTTCGTTGTAGTTGGTAACAAAAATTTTCAAATGACGAATCAGTCATAGACAGATGTAATTGTATACCGTTTATGAAATTCTGTGTGATTCATTTTAATACATTTATCGTCATCGTTTATTGGTCTCATAAAACGAAAAAATGAAGCATATGGGTAAATTTTTGTCGATACGATACGAAAGACAAATGATTAAAGTATGGTGAGTCACCATTGGTGGCGTTCTTATGATGAATCAAAATCGAAAGAATGCAGAGTTAAGAGAGGTTCCGTGAGACTTCTACCCAAGAAGACAATATTCTTTAGAAACGTGTGAAAGCACTCGTTATAACGTTGAGAGAGAAGTATTGCTGCACGAAACATTAATCGGCACTCGATTGACCAAGGGCCAGTATCATTTTGTGGTGAAGCAGGGAATAGGCCAAGTATGCTAATACACGGGCTAGCGGAATTTTGAGGCCAGACGGCGCTGAGAGCCGGGTAGAGAAGAAGGAAAAACAGAAGTTGTAGGAATTCAAAGCAAAACATTTTTGACAGTGCGGTGGAATATGAAAAACAAAATCGCATTTGGATTTTATATTTTTACTCAGAGTCTAATATCAATTATTATTTAGTCACTCAATTTTCTTTCTGTTTATTTAGTGATATAGAGGAAAAATAAAATAAAGTTGAATAATATGCTTTTTTTTGTGGTGAACGAAGAAGCCATGTAATAGTTTTAAAGTACTGTGTATTTTGATATCCTTGGATAGACGGTTTCTCTTACGATGTTTTCGCGCACTTCCTCTTTTCTTTTAGTAGCCACAGGGAGACTGGTTAATCGAATCAGGGTTGCTATATCCGAAAATACTTTAACTTTGGTAAATTCGTGAGTGAACGATTTGCCTATTTTTTTTAAACTAAATTTCTAGTGCATAATTTGATGAGGCCTTGACTGATTGTCTTATTGACAAGAAAAAAACGTTTCTACTATAGGAAGACTTTCTATCCTTATCAGATTTTTCAGGGCTAATCCGAATTTTTACTTTGTAACTGAACAAATGCACTGAAATATGAGTCACATGTCATGAAAATTGTGCCAAGCACTTGTGATTTCTGACATCTCTGACTTACGCTCTTGAAGTTACTTTTCTGATTTATGAGGAATTCTGCTGGAAATTTCTCAAGGGATTTTCAAAAAATAGAATTTGCTTGAGCAATTTCGAGTTTTTTAAAACAGAACGATTTTCTAGTATTTCAAAACCCACTTTAAATTACCCAACGAATTTCTACTCTACAAAACCCTATACTTAATTTCAAGAAACTGGAAGTTGCTTTAAAATTCCTTGAAAGTAGAAATCCCTAGAGCAATTTTCAGTTTACAGAATAATTTACCTGTCGTTTTCTTAGCATAAAAACTATATAAGAACATCGAGAAGAAATCATTCGGGTGTGACTTAGAACGAATATCTGAAGATGCGCCGTGGAACTGTTATAAAGTGGAATTCTAAATTTCTACAAATTATCCACTTTTTGAGGAATTTCCCTAAATAATTTTCAGTAGTAAAAGTCCTATAGAACCGTTATGGAGCTCTCCTACAAAAATTCGTGTCAGGCTTTCAAATTACGGATTTACTTTGTTTGAATTTTTTCAAAATTACAATTGATATGATCCTGCAATTTTACTATAAAAAAGAAATCAAAGAGTATAGTAATGTCGTCAAAGTATAGTACTGGAAAAAAAATAGTGAAAAATATTCGCAATACCTTAAGTAACCGTACAAAGTTGATTCAATCTTCATTTACTTAGATTTCGACATGGACCATATCGCTTTTTCAATTAGTTTCGTCTTGCTATTCATTTCAATACCATTTGCTCTGCACCATGATACCGCACATGATCTTACTTGTGAAGTTATTCCAGAAGGTTGAATCTTTCGACTACAATTTGGATTTGGACAAGTATAAAGTCCATCGGAACGCTTCTCTAAAGTTTGAACCACTGACTTTTTTGGCTGGACCGAACATTTTCGAATCACTTCCTCAGCTGTCAATATGCTAGGTGCACGACGAAAAGAAGGCATTTACAAGGATGTCCGATAAAAAAATGATCGATTTTGACCCGTCCCTTCTCCATTTTTTTCGGTTTCGGCTAACTCCCCTTGCCCTCCGACTCTTTGCCGGACGTCCTTGAGAATGCCTCTTTTATTTGATGTTTTAGTCTTTGCTTCCTTTTGATATTCCAAATTATCAACCTGATCATTATCAATACTAAAATCTTTTGAATACGAGTTCTGAAGTTTAACCAGAGCAGCTACAGCATCCTCAATCATTTGGCTACTCACTCCAATAGAATCAGCTTGTAAGTCTCGGATCCATTACTCAGCTAAATCTGAGTTTGATTTAGTGTCCTCATTTGGGCTGAATGACGAGGTAGTCTGATGATCTCGATGCTCTGCAAAATTAGAAAGGCGTTAAAATTCTTGGTAATGACTCACTGACTACTTTTGAAAATCTCATCTTGTAATTGCTCTACAGCCTGTGTACAATTCAAAGTTTCAAATGCACGAGTTAATATGGTAACAGCGTCTGTAATTGTCTTCCGATCTAACAGCTCTTCAAATAGCTTGAGAGTGTTTGAAGCATCTTCTCGTGTTCGAAGTGAAACTTGATTAGCTAGTAAAAATGCTAACTTTTGTCTATCTCTCTCACTTAAATACTGATCATCAATGTGCAATAACTTTGTTCGAACTAAATATTCGGGATCATTTTCTTCCATCTGTGTCTCTGTAATTTTGTCGTATTACACAAAAACAGAGTCACCATGAATAATAACAGCGGTAGATATTCGTTTTCTTTTTTTCCGTTCTCACTGCTTCTTTATTTGCGTCATGTTGGAAGAAAGCCAAATCAAAGAACGATAAGAAAAGAGAGAACAAAAAAAATCAGATAGAAAAATAAGCATGGCTTCGCTGGTATAATGATTATATTGACTTAAGAAACAGCTCATTTTTCATTTTGTTCAACCTGGACGTCGAAAATACCAACATAATACTGCGGTTTGGTATTGATATTTTTCTAGGTCTATTTCGATCGAAATAATGTCCTAATTTTAGACACAGGCCTTGATGTGGAAAGGTTTAAGGTACCGTTGATTATGAGTTAGCGATATGGGGCATGAGCAGAGCGACTGAAAACACGGAAAACTAATATATTTACCAGACTCATCCAGGTCAAAGCATGTTTGGTAGTTCAACGGAAGACACAAAAAAAAATACTCTATAGAGTTACGAAAATAACGGTAGTAGAATTCGTTTTTGAATCGAACAAGGTAGATAAAATCTTGATCTTTTCACTATTAGATCGTAAATCTTATGTTCTACAAAGTTGCCTGTAGGCAGTTTTCGCTTAATGGAAAAATTGCGCAGGAGTGTTGAGGTTCACACCAGGTACTGCGAAAAAAGGAGCCTTTTTCATTATAGCGGAACGGCGTATAAAGCTGCATCTAAATCTGCCAAGGCTCATTCAAACGGTCAGGAACGAGCTTCTCAACTTTTTCGTATTTAGTTTTTGAATTCGGGGTGCCGTTTTAACGCTTCAGGACTTCACTGACATTGAAACAACGGGTCTTTGATTTTCTTTCAAAATGCATTTCTTCGTAATGAAAATACGTTAGCGACCGCGTTTGTATTAATTCATAAACCACCAACCCACTTTTATCACGTAAAAACGAGCGTGAAAAGAAAAAAAGCATCCGAGTTTTCATCCTCACGTAAACTTCCGGCTGGTTTAAACGGTACCGCGAATTCGAAAATTTTTCTCTGTGTAAATTACCTTGATCGTTGGATAATTAAACCTTTTTTGACCCTTAGATGGAGATTCAGCTCGAATATATCTCGAGGCTCGACCTTTTTCCTTTTCAAAATCTGATAAATAACGAGGATGATAGACAGATTTAGGTTGAGCGACTATCGAAATATTTTTCGTTTCTTCTGCTAGTTGAGGAAAAGGACTAGAAGTCATTTGAGCAAGCTGTGGAGATTGTGAGTCTTCCTTTGGTCCTGGGAAATGACTAGTTGGTTGAACGGTACTTGAAATACGGTTGAAGTTGCGGAGCTGATGTTGATCGCTTCCTGACGACGTTGCAATTCGATCCTGTTCCTTTTCATAATCGGATAAATAAGTAAGATGATTGAAGGATTTAGACTGAGCCACTAGCTGAATGTTTTTGGTTTCTTCTTCCAATGGAACAAAAGCACTGGAAGACATTTGAACATATTGAGGCGATTGTAAGTCTTCTTTTGGTTCCGGGAAGTTGACTAGTGCAGGAAAGGTACTCGAAGTGCATTGAAGTTTGGGTGACTAGGTGGAGTATTTTCCGAAGATGCTTCATTTTGCGTTGGGTTAGCTAAAAATGCGAAGTAAAAAAAATCTCCTCAGCATGATAGTTAACAAAAAGTACAAGTTTCTCTACTCACTCGAGTTCAGGGACTCGCGATTGTTGTCTGTGTCGTTCAGCAAGTTAATATCTGGAAATTAGACAATATTTTACACGGAAGAGCTGATACGGAAATAAATCACAAACCTAAGTTTGAGTTGCCACAAGATTTTCACAGGGTGAACAGCTGAGATAGTAGCCTATTCACTGGCGAAAACCTAAGTTCCACAGCATTTCTCATCAGTGAGAAATTGCTTTAAGAAGGTGCTTATTACTAAGCGTATCAACACCTTTTTTACCGACTGTAAACTTACATGCAATACAAAAAAAACAAAAGTATATTTTTTGCCGTTTGAATCTATTTGTTGTCTGATTAAAAAAACTAAAAAGACCTCCCCCGTTCTCGTGCACACTAAAATTTATTTGTAGGGTGTAATATTGTTTTGTAAACACCATGATTTAGCACAGCTCTTCATGTGTCCTTCCAATTGTGGTGTTCTAACAATTTTATTGCACCTTGGATTGGGGCAACGATAAAAGCCTTCGGAGTCTTTCTTTAAGAGCTCTAGTACAATTTCTTGTTCTGTTTTTTTATTTCTATTGGAAGGACTAGGACGATCAGGTTCGTTGTCATTAGCAGGTGAAATCAGTGGAATAGCACTAGCACTTGTAGGTGTTATATCTCTGCATACTGCTCGAAATCCGAAATTCTCCAATCGAGTGTTTAAACTGAGGTTGTCAGATTCCACATTAATTGGTTTTGTCTTCATATTCACATTTGGCTTTGTCTTCGTATTCTCATTGGCACCACTAATACTAGCCCTGACAGAGTCTTCTTCAAGGTCTTCTAACACTAGACTCACCAACGATTTAGGATTCTCTACAAATTCGCTCACATTTGACGGTGATGCTCCCGACCCGAGAGCCAGTTGTTGATGCTCTGTAAAAATTGCAGAACACTGAACAATAAATATCTGACATACTCTTGACTGAACTTACCTTTTAAACGATCAGCGGCATTGGGACAATTTATTGCTTCAAAAGCTTTTATCAAATAACTAAAGTCGGTTTCGGATATTTTTCCTCGATCAAATAATTGTTCAAACAAAGCGATCGCGCCGGAGAGTGATGTATCATCGCGTATCTTCCGTGAAACATCACCGCCAAATAAGAAAGCCAATCTCTTCCGATCTTCGGAACTTAATTGATCATCAATGCTTAATAAAATTTTACGAAATTGAATTTTTGAGTCGTCAGTATTCATTTAATTTATGTATTTTGTTAAACTGCTCTGGTGATTGAGGACTTTATTCGAAGTATAAATAGAGGAGTGTAAGTTTATAGTGTAACAAAATTTTGTGTGATATCAGACAAGTAAACGGCCCTATGTCCGAGATGTTGGGCGACTTTAGATGCAATTCCGGGAGCAGAGTATTTTTTGGGATTTGTAGGTCCTCTCCTATTTCCATGCTTTTTTAGATTAGTTCGCCGAAAAGAAATATATCACTTACACAAGCCTGTAGAGACGGAGATATCACTGTTTAGAACCCCCAGAGGTCTACGCTGCAACTTTTAAAATCCTGCACGAAGTAAAAAGGACCTGTCAGGGTTGACCTTAGGTGGTTTAAGCACTGAAACACCTTCCCATTCATGCTTTTGTAACTATAGGATTTCTGTTTTGAAACCTGAAGCAAAAAAGCGGACATTTGGAAACTGAAATTAGCCAAGATAGGGCTGCTACATCCCCAGAAAATTGTGACCGAAATGCTTCGAAAACAGGGCTTCATTTACTTGTACGATATCACACCTTTTCTGTCTACACCATGAACTTACTCTCGCGTCTCTATATTTCACATGAAACAGGAGTGTCACAAAAACCAATGTGAATAACAGCAACATCCAATCTTCTTTTCATTTTATTTTCTCTTAATTGAGTCATGTTGGAAAATAAGGAACAACAATATGACAAAGGTAAATATAAAAACAGAAAAACAGAACAGCAAAAGAAAGAACGTTTTATCGTAACTTACTGTCTGTTACTCGAGGAAAAAAATGGCTTTTCTTTCTTTCAAGTAGACCAAGTTTATACACACTGCACAAAAAAAGAGACTGTTCTGCCTTACCTTTATTCATTTTAAAATCAAAAATCACTCTCGTTGTTGATTGACTGAACTATAAAATTGCCTTCTTTTCAGTTTGAATACATTGGTCTCTCTCTCTAAAACATTATGACGTCATTATCATAGCACCATTCATTCGCACACATTTGCACGTGTCCTGTTATTCCTTGTGGTTTAAACTTCTGTTTACATTCGGGACATTGATAAAATCCTTCTGAGTCTTTTGTCAGGGCTTGAGTTACAGTTTTTTGTTCTTTATATAATTTTGGGCGATTTCTAACATTCTTCTTGGCTCCTAATACTAGAGCACTAGGTTGACCTGCACGATATGTCCTGCTTGCACGCTTTTCGTTGTCCTGCAGATCAAATGCCTGATTGTTGGTATTAAGGATAGAGTAAGATACAAATGAAGGACTTTTCGGTCACGTCCGAAAACATTTAGTGTAATCTTATTAGGATTTTTTGCTGTGGCTTAGAGGTGATGCCGAGGAGCTAGCAAAATGACTATTTTATAACGGCCCTAAGCTGTGGTCCCGTCAAAGATGAAATTGTTGACCATCCATTTCAGATAGAACGATTGCACGAAAATGAACCAAATTTCAAACTTAAAAAGCTATCGATATTTTCTCCAAAATGAAACCGGATGCTCTTTATACTATGTGGAATGCACGATAATAATTTTAGCCTTTAACGGATAAAATTCGAGGTGACTGGAATTCACGTCGGTTTCGAGAGACACTTAGGCTTCTTCGGGCAGCCACCGCTAATAACAGGTCGCAGAACGATTATAGCTTACTCAAATCCAGCCATAAGGCGGTAGTGATATTTGATGGAACGGAAGTTTGTCCTACGAACAATCCACAGATCCCAAGCGCAAGTACCAAATCGAAAGCCCAGCTTGACCTTAATATCATTCAAATTAAGACTTTCTAGTGCCACAACAGGAACTATTTCTGTCTTTGCCTCTATATCAGCATTGGCGCCTACCATGGAATCGTCTTCAAGGTCATTCAAAACTGCAGTAATTAACTAGCTAGGATCATCGACGGACTCATTAGTGTTAGACGTTGGTTTTACTGTAACGGTTAAAACGCGTTGTTGGTGCTCTGTAAATGTACAACAGTAAAAATGAAAAGGTGCATATCCGACAGAGCTCGTAAACGGATTTTACCTTTCAAACGATCAGCTGCATGATGACAATTTAGAGTTTCAAAGGCCCTAATGAAGTACGTAAAGTTAGTGTCTGAAATTTTACCTGGATCAAGAAGTTGCTCAAACAGATGTAATGTATTGGTAAGTGATGTATCGTCACGCATGCGTCTTGAAATAGCATTTCCGACTAAAAACTGCAGTCTACCTCGTTCATTATCACTTAATTGATCATCGATCTGTAATAATACTGAACGAAACGTAAATCCTGGATCGGAGAGATGCATGTAACAATTTCAAAGATTATTAACAAAAACAAAACGAACACGAACTGAGAGAAAAAATAAAAATGATAAGAGCTCGAAATTCATTTTCTTTCTCTTCCTCTATATTGATTCTCTGGAAAAAAAGGAAGAGAGAGGAGGTATGGCACAGGTGAGATATATAATATAACTCACTAGGTAAGATATTGTTCGGCCAAAGCACATGATAAAATGAAGATTCATATTACAAAAGAAAAATGGAAATAGAAAACGGTCACCTTCGTAGAAAAGCGATCAGCTCTCTCAGAAAGAGAGGAATTAGAAAACAAGCCATTCTTATGAGGAAATGAAAGTAAAAGCAGAAACGATGTCTGTAGAAAATATCGCGACGACAACGGCTGAGCAAAATATTAACGACATTATTCCCGTTGAAGTCTTGAAGAAAATCTTCCTACTAACTGATTCATCGTCATTGGAATTTCTTTTACAAAATGTACCAGCTACCTGTCGTCTCTGGCGTCAAATTATTTTTACACAAAACTTTTTAAATAAATACTCACTCATCTACGTTCAACGACCTTACCCTATATCAAATTCAAAAGTTCACTTCAGAAAGATTCTCACGTCAAACTCTCACCAGGGATATTCCTCTTTAAAAAGTCATGCAAAGATTATGTTAGTTATGGACGATGTCACTACTTATATTGTGCGACCCTGTGATGGCATATGTAGTTCCAATGACTTCACAATCACATTTTCAAGTTTCGTAAATGAGTTAAGAAAAAAAGATGAGAGAAACTCATACAGAAGTATCCATATTAGGGTAAAAGGAACTTTCGTCACAACGCACTTTCGTCCTAGGGGGGGGGGGAGGGGTATACTTTCGTCACATGTGACGAAAGTGCGTTTTTCAGAAAAAAGAATGGTGACGTAAGTTCCCGTGAATTTCGGAGTGCTTTTTGTGGCTGTGACGAAAATTCACATTTTGATGACGAAAGTTCCGTCGAGTATGACGAAAATACCCTTGTTTTTAATGGTTCCTGCTTAAC